ATTATTTTCGGTTGTGGAGGTCGATTTCAATCATTTTTGGTCATTAGACATATCTTCAAAATTCTACCCATCTTCTAGAAAAAAATTCGAGAACGTATGAAATTTTTCGACGAAATTAAAAAATTTCAAATCGTTCGAAAAAAATTATTTTCAGTTTCGGGGGTCGATTACAATCATTTTTGGTCATTAGATATATCCTCGAAATTCTACCCCCTTTCTGGAAAAAAATTCAGTACGGGCGGAACTTTAAACGTTAATAACTTTTTAACAAAGCCTTCATAAACAAATTAGTATTCTTGATTTTCGTCTTATTTTGGCCTGTAAAATCTCCCATTAAAATTTTTCCCAGTGTTGGCCAAACACCCTGTATATAATAATGATTTAATTCGATTAAACTTTCACAAAAACGATGTTAAGTATCAAAATATTAATTTTCTATTTACTTCACTGAAAAATACATTACATAAAATATACTTAAAAAATTCAAACGATATTCAAAGAAATTAACACAAATACTCTTTAAAGAATATCGTTCTTCGCGTTCACCGAGTGGAGTATCGTCGCTAAAGGGATTAAAATAATCTCAGGATCTTTCTCCACGGCGTTCTTTATTTGTTTAAAATCTTCTCATCGCGAGATATCATCAGATGGCCGAGTCAGAGTGATTTGTCACTCGTCGTATTTGTAAAGGGCAAAGATACTCGGCGTGTTTACGCCCGTATATATGCGCATACATTTGGCTCAAGACTTTACCGGGTCTCTTGATCATGAGAATGAAAATGAAAATGATAATTTGTCGTATACGAATCAGCAAGTCAAATAACGACGCGAGTTAGACAGAGCCGCGCCGCGCAGAAGAAAGAATGGTGATTTTCGTCCGGGGTTACAAGCGATAACTGAAATTATGCATGCACTTTCGGAACACATTTTATCATTGTCCTTCTTTCACCTCTCTGTATCAATTTCATTTTTGCTCGCGTTGTTCGGCGAAGCTCGCTCGAACCCTTCAAAGGCTAATAAAAATAAATATGAATGAAACCCTCGCTACCTCGGAATTGCCAGCAGAAATTTCACCGACTCCCAGAAACCAACAAACACGGAACAAAAACTGTCCAGAAAGCATAATTTTATCAGTATAATAAAACCGAAAGCGAATTAAAAAATAACCGTAATACGATTTGAAAAGGAATAGCAAGACTGTAACAAAGTACGATTTCTTATGGTTTCGAGTAACGAAAATTAATGAGTAAAGGGGAACGCGAAGTTTCGTAATTCTTGTTTTATGTAATCCCCTTTGCATTACCGTTTTACGTCGAAAGAGTGTAAATGATTACAACTTGGAACAGGGAATTGTTTGACTCTATCGCGGGAAAGAAGTCGAATCGCGGTGCCCCCATTGGCCGAACGAATCGTATATTTCCTCGCGCTATAAACTTTACGGTTTCAGGTCTTAATTAAAATCTACAGGGAAACTTTCAACGGAATCTCTTTGGAAAGAAATATTCTCCCCGCCGACTCTTTCATGTAGCAAGAAATCCGTTCAACAAGTGGGATCGTAAAACCGTCAAATATATTTCGCCCGGTTTCAGTTATGAAATCATTGCTATTTCGTTATAATATTAGGTGTACGAATAGTCCAATTTTTTCAGCCACATTCAATGTTTATTTTAAAAGAAAGTAAATTTAATTGTTGGATCAAAGTATTCGCCGTTACTTTCTATAACTTTAAGCCATCTTTCAGGCAGCTGATGAATTCCATTTTGGAAAAATTTTACGTTTTTGGATCCGAAAATGGCTTGACGACATTATCGTCCACTGATTGGAAGTGCATATCGAATAAGGCAGTGTCGGATATGCACCTTATCTGTCGCCATTTTCGACTCGACTGAATTGAATAATTTTGAAGGTTATGTTGGGCCTTTCACTAAACTATCTTTTGTTTTAACTAGCTACATGTCAACACTATATGACCGCAAAAGAGCGGGAAAATTGACTTTAAACTTGATTTTATAACTGCTTAAGATAATTTGGATTATTAATTTATACACCTAATAGATAATCGAGAAACCGTGTTAAAAATTAACGCGAGAATATCTGTGTGAGTCGAGAAATCATAGTTGTGTCGAGCAAATACAACGTGTTAATAATTACAATTAATAATCGTGTCGAAAGTTTAACGCGTTTCGAATTTCGAAGTGATCGTTTTTTTAATTTTTTGAAGTTGTAACAAGTAATCTAGAGGTACACAGAACGTTCTGAATATTAATTTTCTTTTTCAAATTAACTCGTTCTAGCCTATGGAGGGTGCGTATGGAAAATTTGGTTATTGGAACTGACCGTTATGAAATATTCGACATGAATAATATTATTGAAAAAAGTGACGGCGGCGGTACGGATGCCGCACGAAACACGGACAGAATTCGATTTTTAACTAGTTGGTTGTGTATGATGATATATGTATGATAGGAACATTGTCCTGATTTCTCTGGAGTATTGCTTTTTTTTAGCGTGCACCGCTGGCTGCGCGGTATAGTTGACAAATTGCCAATGTTCTCGACTTCCTGCATGCTTCCGCGGACGACGACGATGATTAAATAAATATATTACTCGGTAAATTAAACGATTGATTTATAGAATATTTTTGTAATGTTCGTAATCGGGCGCGTGACTTACATTTAATGATAAAATACTCGAGAGTGACTATCCAACTGATAAAATAGCTCGTAGAAGAGTAAAGATTAAAAAGAGAGTCTCGTGAGCATCGAAGCTCGACGATTTAAATGCCAGAAACAAGATTTATACTGTAAAGACACAATTTAGAAGATTCTATACAGTTACAATACATGTGCAATACGTTTGGAAACTTCTATTAAGAAAAAGAAACACGAATAGAATAAAGAATCTCGTATTCAGTGGCGTTTAGTTGATATTTCTGGAAAGGCATATTTAAGCTATACTAATTGGTCGATTTTACTGTTACTTGGTCCGCCATTCTGCTTTTATCCAACTCTTTAATAGCCATCGTTTCGATTCCATATAATCTACTTTCCAAGCTACCGCTATGTTTAATATGTCTTAGGCTGTTTCGATAGTAACGCCATCTTTTACCTACATTTATTAAAAGTTCTTTGGACCATTCAAAATGGCGTTGGAATTCGATTCGATAGGTTTCGTTTTGGAAAACAGAAATATTTCTAAGCAGAATAGAGTAGAATTATTTGAACATGGGATTACTATGAAACAGCCTAACAGGAAGCACATGCTACTTTGGTAATTGAACCCAGCAGCAATTAGTAGGCCTGTTCGCGCCGGCTTCTCGCGATCACTAAAAACATGTGATTCTATGCTAACGAATTCATGAGTGTGACAAATGTATACTAATATGACAGAGTGTTTCGTAATCGCGTAGAAGAATTTTAACCATGCTTCCATTTCGTTCCATTTACTCTGTCGATCGATATATGCCTGGTTAGGAAGATCTTTGTTCATCTATCTTTTTATAATTTGACAAGTTATATGCTTTGGAATTATTATTACGTATCAGTGTTCTATCGAAAAGACGTCCAGGAAAAAAATTTATATTAGTATTCAAAATTTATTTAAACATAAATATGTATGTAAAAAAATTGATATTTAAATAGATTGGTTGACCAATATACCTTGGGGACACAAGAAAATGTTATTAAATATTGATTCGAATGTTTGTTTATAAGCCTGTAATTAGAAGCACTTATTATTTTACAATTTTGTATTTAATGTTTTACGTTTCGATCGAGAATAAGAGTACTCTTCAAGAAAGGTCGTAAATTAAAATATTTAAATACCAAAGTATCTATACATATTAAATAGATTGTGACCCAACAGACAATAGATTTAAAATAAAGTAAAATTACGTGGAAGACTGTTTTAGAAAACTGACTAGAACGATACAACATGTCACATACAAAGTTACGTTTCACGAAAAAATTAACAAAAGATTTTCTTTTTTGGTAAAAATTCGTGAATTTTCTTTGTCATTTTGATAACTCACACATTATGGTTGGCGATCGCCACTGTCCAATTACACAATTTATTTTCAAATCGATAAAAAAATAAACGTATCCTGGTTCAAAGATCGGCAAAATATTTTTATTTTTTGATCGGAGTAAAAGGGTTGCAGTTTAAAAATCTCCCACTCGACGGCGACGCGAGAATGGAAACGCCAGAGAAACGCCTTTCGGAAGCATTTTAAGCGAATTCTCGTCGACGATTTATTCAGAACCTCTGGCAAAACGAATACGGGGGGGGGGAAAAAATCGCGTTCCCCGATTCGAATCGTTTCCGGGTATCGTGGCCTGGCGAAACACTCTGTGCACCCGCGAGCGCTCGAAGCACGCTCGAAGCGAACGAACCTAACGCTCTACTACGCCTAGAAAACAGTCGACACAGTCGTCATCGTACAGTAGGGCGGGGGGGTTGGAAACAATATGCATGACGTTCTCACAAGCTATCGTCAGCTATTCTGCAAGCTGTTCTTTCTTTCTTGTCGTTTTTTTTTTTTTTCTGTCTCGGTTACGACGAGCCATCCGCGCGTCAAAGTCGGAAAGTAGAGAGAAGTGGAGGAGGGCGAAAGTTGGAAAAGGAGCGCGAAAGTTTAAGTTTCGCGGCTGGCGACCGGTTTCGCGGTGCCCAGCGGAGTTCTATCGGGGGCTAGATGGGTGAAAATGGATGTCGTACAAAGACAGAGAGAGAGAGAGAGAGAGAGAGAGAGAAAGAGAGAGAGTGAGAGTGAAAGAGAGAGAGAAATGGTTTTGATGATGGTGGCGGCTGCTGGCGGTGGTTTTCTTTTTCATAGCTCTGGCAGTGGTGCGGTTAAATGCAGTGCTGTGAGGTGCAGGCACACGCGCATATAAGTAGTGCAGTAGTAGTAGGTAGTAGTAGTGATGATAGTAGTAGTAGTAGGTAGTAGTAGATAAGGTAGTCCATTACAGGCGGACACAGGTTAATGGTAAAATAGTTACCCGGGCCTTGGCGCCGCCAGAGTGATCTCCGCTCGCGGAGGAGGAAGGACTCACCCGGTATCCACCGAGGTTGTTCACCACGCAGGTGAAGGAAGCGTCTCGACCCTGCGGGATCGTTACGTTCTGCAACGGGTGAACGAAGTCTGGCTCGAACCCCGTCACTGGAACAATTAAGCGATAATTTTATATTAAACTACGTTCCCCCTTGCAAATTAACCCCCGGCGAGGGGCACGCGTCCTAGAAATTAGTTTATCGTTGGACAATATCGCGAACCACCCCGGGATTCATGAATACGCGTACGGTAAATCTGCATGTTCCCAGACGGCCCCTCCAGGGAACGCCAAAGTCACTTACCTGGTAATTATCGAGTCAAAACGGGGGACAATGCTGTACAAACTAGATATCAGCCAATTTTGGATTTGACTCAATGATCTTGCAGGGGGGTGTGTTTTTACTTTTATTTGGCTTTCGGGGAGCTCGAAATGGATCTTTGTCTCTGGAGACGATGGAAAAATTATAGGAGATTTTTAACATGCAAATATAAAGTAAGATATGAATTATTATGTTTAGAAGTTGAGACAACCCCCTACAAAGCTCCCAGAGCTTGTCAAAGCGACGGGCAATGCTATGAAAATTATTCAATTTTGGGTTTGAGTCGATAATCTTGCAGGGGGTGTGTTTTCACTTTTACTTGGCTTTTGAGGAGCTCGAAATGCATAATTATTTGCCTCTGGAAACGATGGGAAAGTTATAGGAGGTTTTTAACATGCAAATATAAAGTAAGATACGAATTATTATGTTTAGAAGGTGAGACAACCCTCTCCAGAGCTCCCAGAGCTCGTTAAAACGAGGGACGATGCTGTAGAAATTAGCCAATTTTGGGTTTGAGTCGATAATCTTGCAGGGGGTGTGTTTTCACTTTTACTTGGCTTTTGAGGAACTCGAAATGCATAATTATTTGCCTCTGGAAAGTTATAAGAGATTTTTAGCATGCAAAAATATAAGAAATATTTAAAGTGAGATATGAATTATTATGTTTAGAAGTTGAGACAACCGCCTACAAAGCTCCCAGAGCTTGTCAAAACGAGGGGCAATGCTATGAAAATTAGCCAATTTTGGGTTTGAGTCGATAATCCTGCAAGGGGTGTGTTTTTACTTTTCCTTGGCTTTTGAGGAGCTCGAAATGCATAATTATTTGCCTCTGGAAACGATGGGAAAGTTATAAAAAATTTTTAACATTCAAATCTCTAAAAAATATTTAAAGTAAGATACGAATTATTATGTCTGGTGGTTGGGACAACCCCCTACAAAGCTCCCACTTTATTAATTCTATTAATAAAAATATGAGTTTGTATAGAGATCCCACAGTCTAATAATGTGTAATGATAGAGTGATTTAGATTAATTTTTGCAATCTATTTTTCCTCGATAGTGTGTTTCCACGTTCATTCCAATTGGGCGGTTCTGTTTCAAAGAGGAGCGGTTTGTAGCTATATTGTTCAAAGGGGTTAGGCGCTGAAACGGACACGAGCTCAATTTGGACATTAATTCCGAGTATGGCTGTAGTTTCTGGCTACCGAAACAAATGTGGTGTGTGCGGCGAGAAAAAAATTAATCCCATTTACAATGTGCGGCTTATACGTTCTCCCTATCGCTGTTTTATTCCTACGTGTCCCGTTTTGGATATCCCTCACGCATTCAATACCATCGTTGTTGTCCTTTTTTCATAGCTTTTTTTCATTTCCCTACATATTTTTATTCTTTTTTTGGGGGTCGATGTTCCTCATTTCGCGAGCACCCACGAAACTTCGATAGAAACTATTGTAATCGAAAAATATGTTCTGGTAATTTACTAATCTCAGTTTAAATTATACATTCCGGAAAGATCATTTTATTGTCTAATTTTTACTACTGAAAATGTCAAGCAGAGGAGTATTTAATTTAAATTAGTTAAATTAAGAATGTAAAACCACAATTTACTAATAACACACTTTATCTGAATATTAATATAAGTAAATTTGTGAAACCAGACAGTTCTCGTTATAACATAAGAGAATGATTTCAAATCATCTTGAAAAAATTATTTTTATTCGAGGGGGTCAATTACAATCATTTTTGGTGAATAGATATACCCTCGAAATCCTACGCATTTTCGAGAAAAAATTCAAGTAGGTAGACAAATTTTTGAGCGAAAAAAATTTTTCAAATTGTTTTGAAAAAATTATTATCCGTTACAGGGGCCATTATAATCATTTTTGGTGAATACACATATCCCTGAAATTCTACGCATTTTTGAGAAAAAAATTCCTTATCGAAAATGTAGTTTCTGACCATACATTAACATGTTTCCCTGAAATCTTTCGGCGAAAAAAAATTTATTCAATCATTCTAGAAAAATTATTTTCAGCTGTGGAGGTCAATTACAATCATATTCGGTCAATAGACATATCCTCGAAATCCTAATCATTTTCGAGAAAAAAATTCCTTACTGAAAATGTGATGTCTGATCACACATTGATATGTTTCCCTGAAATTTTTCGGCAAAAAAAATTTCAGATCGTTCTGAAAAAATTATTTTCGGTTTCGGGGGTCAATTACAATCATTTTTGGTCAATACACATATCCTCCAAATCCTAACCATTTTCGAGAAAAAAATTTCTTACCGAAAATATAATGTCTGCTCATATATTGACATGTTTCCCTGAAATTTTTTGGCAAAAAAAAATTTCAAATCGTTCTGAAAAAATTATTTTCGGTTTCGGGGGTCGATTACAATCATTTTTGGTCAATAGACATATCCTCCAAATCCTAACCATTTTCGAGAAAAAAATTCTTTACCGAAAAATATAATTGACGCTGGTAAAAAAGTTTCGTCAGAGCTTGAGTTTTTCGTTTACAGAAAATAAGTATTTCTACAAGTTTGTTTCCGATAAGATCGATCGATCGAATTCGTCCTTAACGACAGAACGTGGTATCTGGCAAGAACTATAATATTTTACGAGTCCCGTCCTATGTATGCATGGTAGTATGATAATCACTTGTACAGAATATTTCTGTTCGTGTATTTTCACAGTACATAAGCATGCTTTCATTCCGGAAAGCTCCAGCCCCCCCCCACCAGTTCCCCTATTAAAGTCTGTTTCATTCCATTGAAAAGGTTGAAGCACCACTGCTTACTATTCAATTCTATTTTTCCTCTCGTGCATAAACCGTCGGAGCTCTGTCTGATAAACGCGATCTCATAAACTAAAGTGCCATTCGATGTGATAAACGTGAGTTATCTCGTTTCGGACTCCACTGCCGTGGTGTGTGAGCTTCGTCTTAGAAACGAGTACAGCGTCGAAATGTGGAATGTAATTTAACAGTACTGGTTACACCAAAAATACGAAAAGAAAAACATTATACCACTCTCAGCACACAGTATACGTAAATTCAATTATTAAAAGAACGTTTAGCTGTGATCATTTTAGCTATACTTATTCATAAGCCTTGGCTCGACGGCGAGCAAAGGTGGACTGTTCGAAATTTATTATACAGTACCTTAACTGCAATGGAAGAAAACGAAAGTCGATCTATATTTCAAAGTGAAACGATTGAAACTTGCAAATTTTAAATGGTGCACTATGTGGTCCAATGTTCCAATACCAATAACTTAAAATTGCTGGCTGAAAGTCCGCTATAACCATAACCGTAACAAAACGTGAACCTTATTTCTATTCAGGCCTTCTACTCTCGCAACAAGAGTCCGCGGTGCTCGTATTACTGATAAAGAACACTTTGAACGTCAGATATTTTAAAGGCGCGCGGTATCGCGGCAATGCTGCAATAATGTACGCGATTGATAGCGATCGCGTGTTTTATTCCGTTTTGGTTAACTTTTACCGTTTCGATAACAAATTCGAGTATATTATCGTGATCGAAGCACCGTAGCAACGCTATTACTAGTCGGGGGGATCCCAAGGGCTGAGAATTTAAGAGATGTAAGGGATTAAAAACTAAATTCACGGGACTGAACGTCCCCATGCTAAAAAACCACCGGAGATAACATTACTCCAAGCCGTAGAGAAGTGAGATAGCCGCGCGCATAACTAATGTTCAGGGTTATGGATTAAAGTATTCGCCACGATAATCGTTGCTCTTCGTTTTTTCGCTTGTCTGAAAGGTACGAGTATTTTGGCGAAATCTCATTGTCCCCCAGATTCAGTATTACTACAAAGCAGCGTTTCTCAACCCTTCACGAGCCACTTCGAAGTATTATTTATCTGCTACGAATCATATGACCTTCGTACTTCAAAGTTTTAGTAAAGAATATAGAAATATTTTAGCGTGGAGATTTTTTAAGATTTCGAGTTTGTAAAATTAATTTTAATTCAATTTTTACGTGTTGCAAATTTTCAATTGTTACATTTATTTTTAGAAAGTAATACTCTTCTTGTAAATTAAAAAAGTCATGGATTTAAGTAGACTTAGACTTTACTTATAATATGTAATGTAGAAGTGGACTTAGAGTTTGTTTATAATATGTAATTTTATAGAACAAAATGTGGTACTTTGGAACACATTATAAAAGACAATAGTATAAAAAATAGATTTAGAGTTTATTTATAATGTAGAAGTGGACTATAAGTGGTAAATTTATTTTTAGAAAGTAATACTCTTTTTATAAATAAAAAAAGTCATGGATTTAAGTAGACTTAGACTTTATTTATACTATGTAATGTAGAAGTGGACTATAAGTGGTAAATTTATTTTTAGAAAGTAATACTCTTCTTATAAATAAAAAAAGCGATGGATTGAAGTAGATTTAGATTTTACTTATAATATGTAATGTAGAAGTGGACTTAGAGTTTGTTTATAATATGTCATTTTATAGAACAAAATGTGCTACTTTGCAACACATAATAAAATACAATACTACAAAAAAGTAGACTTAGACTTCATTTATAATATGTAATGTAGAAGTGATCTTGGAGTTCATTTATAATATGTAATTTTATAGAACAAAATGTGCTACTTTGGAACACATAATAAAACACAGTAGTACAAAACCTACAATAATAACATAGAAAAGTTATGGAACAATTATATTACCAAATTATCGCCATTGTTTATAGGAATCTGTTGGACAAAACTATTTAACAAATTTTTGAATGACCATGTACGTAGCGTTGATGGGATCCAACGAAGTTCAATTCTGGTCGCAATATCGAGTCAGTTACGCGTTTTTGATAGCTGGTA